CTAAAACAACCAGGAAACTTTCATTCTACACTTCGTTCCTTCAAAGTTTCGAATCAAATCAAACAACGTGAACTTTCTACGAGAGCCTAGAAGGATTGATGACAAAGACATTTACAAATCTTATCCTACTTGTGAACAGAATTATTGATCTGCTTACATCGTACAGAAAACGAAGTTATAAACCTCATAGAATTAAGAAGAAAGAGAAAACGTGTGATCAACTGAGAAGTAGTTCGGGATCTTCAAGCAGGACAGCATCTGCTTGTAGATCCCGGAATACTTTTTTCTTCATTTTCATCACATTTCATTTAGCTATAGCAAAGAAAGTTGAATAAGATTCAAAACTAAAGAATAACCAAATTAGCTATGAATGTGCACGAGCAAAACTGAAAAACAATCTTTCCAAAACCAAAAGGAGGAATCTCAAGAAAAAACGCGATAGCAATAATTAGCGTTAGGGAACAATTGATTTTAAATGGAATACCTATTCGATGGAACATTTTCAAATACACAACTGCAAGCAACAGTTAAAGCATATAACACATCACTCACCAAAAGCTTAAAGAATTAATTACAAGACTAAAAAAAATAAGAAATTGAAACACACCAACCAACATCAGACACACGCCTCGTTATCGTCAAGTTGATAATCAGACTCGTCATTTATTCATAATCATCGAAGGTTTATAATTAAGGTATACTGGTAATAAAAAAACCGCCCCTATATGGTAGAAAGTTTCGTATCTCGTTTAAGTTCAGACAGCTGCATACTATTTCAAAGTAATTGTGAGATATGAAGTTTTATGTTTGGCCCTATCACGAAATGATTTTGTTCCAGGAAGTGCTTGATTCAGAATTATTTTGAGAAATAAACAAAATTTATTAACGAAATTTAAAAACCTGATAAGCTTATGCTACCCGTACATACACTTAAGTGTTTCGAAACTGTTGTTTAAAAACGACAAACAGATTCCAAGTATTCTGTTTTAATTTTGTTTCCTAGAGAGGAATGAATGAATGCTGGTTCAAACTGATCATCTGTTTGGAAACTCTGCAATTTTGAGAATAAAATAGAATAGAAAGCTGTTTTCTCACAATTGTTTCAAACTTCGTGGATGAAGTAAGAAGTTCGAGATTATTGTAATCGTAGAGTTGTGATAAATGGAAGAATATGAGAGAACATATGCAAACATACTCTAACAAAGCTTCGTTAATCGGAACTGGAAAAGAGAAGAGATTGAAAAAAAAGAAGAAGTTTTCCCAGACTTAAACTATGACACGATTTCAGAGCTAGAAATTTCATGTGAGTATCTTGTACACTGAAAACGGAAGATATGAACGATAGGAGACAGAAAAACCGGAAATGCATAAGATATTTTTCTCTCTGAAATTTAAATTAAGGAGAAGATTTTCAAATGATGTGTTAAAACCTTGTTTGAATCAAAACTATCAACAAGTGTGTAGAGGAAGGAATATACGATGAAAGAGATCCCAAATGAAGGGATAAGGATACGCATGAGCCAGATTACTGCAATACCTCATCATTCGATGGATAAGAACAATGGTTAGAACTCACATGATTTGTCTTGATCTTGTTGTAAGCACAATATCAGAACAGCAAACGTTAAATGTACGAATTCCAGCAAAGGAATCATATACGAGAGGAAATAGAAGAATCTGTTCTTATTATTTGTGCCAATCATCAGTTCCCGTACACGTGCATAGCTTAGAAACATCTGAGAGACGGTTAAAGATGTAAATGCATAATTTGTTTCCGAAACAAGTTACTTTGCACATGAAAATTGCGAGAACTGAAGTCCTCAACCAGTACTGTGTATCAATCCGTAGCTCCATCGTTCTTAGCAATGAAGGCAAATACTCTCTATTAGGCACCTTAGACATCTTGAATGAATGAAATGAATGGTAATCTGTTCTGACTATTCTTACTTTACAATAGTTCCAGAAAGAGCTTCCATAATCATAACGTAGATGACGATGTTTCTCATAAATGGAATGAAGAGGATTATCGTGGTTCAAAGCTTCAACTGCTTCTTCCAAAGATGCTTTGACACCGGGAACATATCTGAAATTTTAATTAAACTTCTTCTGGAAATAAACTGGAACATAGTCGGATAATTAAGGGGACAACGCAACAGTGGGACAGTTCGTTGTCCTTATTAATTGAAAAATAGAAAAACTCACTTGTTTCTAGTAAGATTGTACTTTGGATCAACAAAGTTATCGAATGGTAAAGGAATATCTGTGAGGAAAGCTAATGATAGACCGATTGATACACAGAAAGTTGAAATGATTATCAAAGAGAAGTTCAATGTGGATAAGCTCAAACGACAATGAGCCCACACTTCTTCCTCTTCTGCTGTCATTAGTTCAACTTTTTTTTTCATTTCTGGAAGATCAAAAAAAAACAATCAATAAGCAATGTATGGAGAAAGATGGATATGTGTTGAGACGGAGATATAGAGAAGCAACAATCTGATAAGCAGGAGAAAGGTAGAAGAAGCTGATGGGGAGAAAGCTTTGTGAAAAAGGACAAATGTGGGAGGGCTGTATTCTTCAATTTTAACGATATATCGTAATCAGTGAAACTATAGTCTCTGTGTCTTCTTTGTTTTCTCTCTCTATCTCATGGTATGTCACACTATAGAGATATGCTTCTATCTTTCCATCTCTCCTTTTTAGGATATTCTTTTTTCTTTCTTTATCCACGGAAAAGAAGAACCATAGCATATCTTACAAGCTTCTTCAAGAACTTGTCGCCGCAATATTCTTAGAAATCTCTTTTTCTGTAGTTTGAGATTGCTAGCACTTTCTTTTAATAAAGGAAAAATAATAATTATCTATTTATTGAATTGAAAATTGCAATGAAGTATCGACGATTCTTTCCAGTTTCTGCAAGCTTCTTTCATATTCCGTTAACTCTTGTATGTAGCTTAAACTTTCAATTAGCTTTTTGCAAATGTTTCATTGGTTGTACCCTGTAGGTGCGCATGATTGATCAGCCATGTTCTCTGTATCCTTACAAGTGTATTGGCAAGTATGCATGGAAATAAGCTTGAGAAAGCCGAAATTAGCAATAAAAGCAAGATTTGCTAAGGAGAATGGTGAATTAGGTTGATAGAGGGACTAGAAGACCGGTTAAGAGATTGCCGTGGAAAACTGATGACAATGGGAAAGTTGTGAAAATTTTTATTTTTTTTCTGAACAATCATGAGCTGCAAGAGGAGAGTTCTGTAAGACATCACACTTCTTCATATCATCCCATCTCGGGGAGTAAGCAGCATAGAACTGAGGGCTCACACTCAGCACAACATCTTCATAAGATGGCGTTATCATGAACTCCGTGTTTTGGAAGTCGAAGTAGGTCGTTAGATGATAGATGAAGACGGATGTTATCATAAAATATTCATTTAAAGCTTCAACCCAAGGAACTGGAAACAGATTCGTTATGTTTCTGTGAGTGTACTCACTTACCAAACGGATGGCATGTTTTATGTCTGTAAAACTTCATGTATGAAGTATAAGTTGGGTAGAAGCAGGTGATAAAAATGAAGAAACATGTTGCGCGAATAAAGAAAGGCTTGCTTGAAACCTGTATTTCAAAGTGGTTGACATAGGAAAGAGCAACAGCTTACCCCTAGTTTTTCGTCGTTCATGTCAATGAATACATTCAAAACCATTTGAAGTACACACAGAACTCCAAATGAGATGAGAACGTACGGTATTAGAAACTTGTCTATAACTTTTAGAATTAGTTTTGTTCATCTCAGAAGGTATGACAATCCCTATCGACGTCCATATGAAGAGAGCAGAACAGAAAAGCTGATACTGACTCCAGAATTACGACTACTGGCGTTGAGATACAAAGGAATCGGAACGTTTTTGATTTCTTCGGACCTAAGACTAGAACCCAAGATCCTCTCATAAGTGATATCATCGAAAAACAATATTAATTATTGGCAGAACTGACTATCATTACCATCCGTATCGATAAGAGCATTATAATCGTTAAGCGTGCGATTGCCTGAGGCATTGGACGGAACTCAAAAAGACGAAAGATGGAAGGAAGTTTTCTGAACGTTTGCCTCGGAGTAGGAAGTTTGGTGTCGTTCTTGAGCAAAATGATCTTTCATCACAATGAGTATCCTATGAAGTTACCCAACAGTATGTATCAAACGTTGATCCCCAGAATATACGAGCCATTCCCATTTTTTTATATTTTTGGTCTCGAAAGAATAGCTGAAGAAAAAGATGTTTCTATAGCAGAAAGATGCAGTGGTAAACATCTTTGTTGAATGTTCCATTATGTCCATCCCTATGTATCATCCATATACTATCACTTTTCATGACTTCATTTGCATATGCTAGCCAAGTTTCATTTTCCCAGTTATCCTAAAAAGTCAATGCAATGATAGAAATGGTTGAGAAGTAGGTAAACCTTAGGAAACAGCGAATAATCAGCTGCTGATGTGTATAGAGCTAATATAATATTAATGAACACAAACAAACAAACAATACAAGCAGTTTGAGGTCCAACAAATCTCAAATAAGAGTTTAATAATTCTCCTTCCGAATGAATATAACGTATAGCCATTGTCTAAGAAGTATAGTTAAAGAGAGTTATCTTGTTAACTTGTTAACCCACATGTTGAATAAGGTTAATCCAGTCTCTGACCCACATCTATCAATCGATTTACTTTTGTACAGTTTAAAATACTTAAAACGAGAATTCCAGTTATATCTGTTCCATCTCACTTCACTTTCACTATCTTCTTCTGTAGACGGCCATTCTCTCTCTATGAAATCTTCACTCTCTCTCTCCAATTCTCATTCTCTTCATAACATTTCTTTCATTTCTTGAACTGTCAGGCTGGTTCTTTTCCATTTTCTCCTGTTTAGTCGTCTCCAATCCATAAAGATCTTGTTCCCCCTCTAGCTTTAAACAATTTCTTTTTCCTTTCCTTAATTTTTATATTTTTGAAATGAAATGTGTCAAATGTCGACATACAACTGTTTGTGTTTCACATGGAAAATACAAACTCATTCATAAGAATTCTCTTAAAAAGCAAATGTGGATAAACGAATTCGTATTAACCAACTATCGCCCGCCCAAGATGACAAACCACATGTGTTTCAAGAGGTTTTTGTCTCACTTTCTCCATAATTCAATTAATATCTTCAAGTATCTTCCATTGGACCAATGAAACAATCAATATTTGGAGTCATTTACTTGGATTTTTCTATTTCACATTCTGTCAATTGGACGCCAACATCTTTCACATTCCTACAATAGGTGGCAGTAAAGAAGATCATTTAGTTTTTACCTTATCCATATTTGGGTCACAGGTTCATAGATATGCTTCATTGCTTCAATCACACAATAGCTCATTGCAGATATGTATGCTACTATCTGCTTGTTATCATACATTCGGATGTACAAGCTCCAGAAAACGTGAACAATGGCTGAAAATGGATGTTTTTGGTATTTCAGCTGGACTACTCGGAATGTATTTGGGTGGAATTTACACAGCTTTTTATTGTTTTCCGGTAATTTTAACTAATGAAATAGAATTAAAATAGATTCGTTGCAGGACCATTTAGAGAGTTATTTATATTTTTTATTGACCATCTTCCTTATAACAGCCTATGTGCCAAGTCGTAAAGACTTCTTTGAAAAAAAAGTTGTCGGAAATCGAATAGGCTTTTTACATATCATTTACACAACCATTATCGTATTTGGAATATGTCCCACCATTCATTGGGTATACTTACATGGAGGCTTAGATAACTTACATGTACAGGTAATGATGTTTCATCTTTCTTTCATCCATTCATTTGTTTTGTTATAGAGATGGTTGCCCAGCATCATAATTCTTTATTCGTTAACTGCTGCTGCTTTCTTCTTCTATGTTTCACTTGTACCAGAAAGAATATCTCCAGGTTCGTATGTTGTTCAGTTCAGATGATCGTTACTTACATGAATGTTCCACGGAACATACTGGTTCACGTGGCATTTGCGTGATTCGGTCATCCATTTTGACTTGAAAGACGATGATGATCGGTTGTTATCCCTCTTTTTGTTTCAGGAACATTTGATGTAGTAGGATGCTCACATCAGTGGTGGCATTTACTCATTCTGGCCGCAATGGTCTGGTGGCAGAGAGCCGGACGTGAACTTTTGTCCTTTTATAGATCCCATCATAATTCGTGTCATATATCAACTGTTGGCGTGAATTTGACATCGGCCATGTAGTTAACAACTTCGCTTATTTTGAAATATCTAAAATATGATCTCATAAAATATATTTATTGAAAAATAATAAACAAAAAAAGGCTAGCGATAAACAGTAATTGATATTCAAAGGCAATTCTCATTTAAGCGAATAGTTAAAAGGCAGTTCTGAAGGGTTAAAGCTAACTTCAAAGACGATTCAAATGAGATCCTGGAGCCGGTAAGAGTGGAATCTTTAATAAACATGTTAAGAATGTGATATGAAATGAAACAAGATTTACCTTAGAAACGATTTCTAATAAACGTTGTGATTTTTGAGCAATATCTTTCTGGTTGTGAGATCGTAGTTCAATAGCACGAGTGATCATCTCTTCACGTCCTTTAGCACCAAATATGCTGTAGAATAAGGTTTGCGTTGGACTGCTGAATGGATCCTAAAACAAACAATTAGTTCATAAGATAGATGAACTGTGATAATTACTTGATTATGAGAAGCAATTGTATCATAAGTAATATTGAGAGCTTCAACTGCTGATGATGTGCACAGCAGCCAAGTAACTCCTCGCAATAGAATCTCATCTCGATCAGAATCTAATATTCGTATAAGACCAGTTACAGGCTGAAATGTAAAGTAGTTATTTGAAGAGGGATATTCCACAAACTTTAGCCCCGAGCATATATGGCACCAAATCAGGACAACAAGATAAATTGACGAGAAGACGAAGAGCATTTATATTGGCTTCACCACGAACCCATAAATGATTTAAACAAGCATTTATACACGGAACAAAGGTCGGAATCTTCAGAAACAAAATATGAATTGAATGAAAAAATATGACTCACGTCATCAGATGATATTCGAAGTGAAAGATTCGTTAATGCCTGTAAAGCGACTACTACTTCTGTTTCATCAGTGGAAGATAAACGGGATATTGCTATAGGTATCGTTGGCTTGACTATCATCTACAGTAAGAAAATATTTAATTACTTATGAATTATATGTGTGTATACCAGATTCTCGGGACAAACAGCCATATTTGCAACACATTGTAGGAGCATGAGTCGACATTGAGGAGGCCAAAGAGCTTGCTTCAAACATAACATGTCTACTATCCTCTCAGTTAATTTTAAATCTCTCATTAAGACCTAATAAGAAAGCTCATTTACAATACGTTTTTTGCTTCACATACTTGATTAGCTGGATATGCCGTTGAATTTGAGATGACTGTCAGCAAAGGCAGAAGAAGATCAGCTGTAGGATCAATTCCATATAAAGCTGAGAGTAGCTTAAGAGAGAGAGTGTAAAACTATTCTTTTGCAAGAATGTCTTACCTGTCTTGCATCTGTTGGTGTGAGAAGCTTCTGATGATGGTATAATCTATCAATAAGCTGTTTTAAGCGGTGAGATCCGAATAACTCGGCTGCAGGATTGACAGTGATTCTCCATTCTGGTGGCGGCTTTTCGTCAGGATCTTTCTGAGGAACAGCCTGAGAAATTAGATTATCATTGATGTTCGCGGAATTTGGAAGAACAGGAAGTTACAAAAATAGTTTTATAAACAACTAACTATATGTATGGTTAAAGAAAAGTTGATTGATGTTTTTCATCACTTTCAACTTGAACGAATGTTGTTATTCATCAGAAGAAAAGCTGTGTATCTCCTTAAACGAGAAAAAGAATTGAAGCTTTTCGTTTTAAACGCTCTTACAAGGCAATCTCGCTTAACAATAGAACCAACAAAAGACGAAATTCTTTGAAATGTGAAGGAAATTCCTTAAGTAACACGAAAGAAGAGAAAAAAAAAGAATTGGCTTATATATTTGGAATTGGGGAGAAGCTGAGAGGTGAGGAAGAACACAACTCATGAATATTCAAAACCCATTGTTTAACATTCTGATTGCATTATGTGAATTCATCTTCTATCTTTCTATGAAAATTAAAAATAATAAAGAATCATCTCATCATGTGCATGACTTCCAATAAACAACCAACTTTGACGTCTGATGAGTCGAAAAGTGATCAATGTACGTGAGTGACGTCAATCACGTGCATGACAAAGAAATTACAAACTACGAAGAAGCTCTTTCAGCTAGCTCATTCAAACATGTAGCAACCAATTAATCTTGATATGAAAAGAAAGATTAATAAGAGCAATGATGTTTCACACTATGGCGTTCTTTTTTTGTTCTTTTGAATTCAACACTCTCCCGCTCATTCTCTCTTAATCTCTCTCTCTCTCTCTTTCTCTAAGACCACTTGGTTGATCTCTCTATTCAAGTTTTTGCCTTCCCTCCTTTTTTTGTTGCAACCTTCTCTCTTCTTCTCTCTTATGCTCCCCTTTTCCCAAAGCACAAATCATTCATGACCATCTCTATATGTGTGTCGACTTTTGGTTCATCAACTTTAGCTTGTTTGTAAAGATATAAGCTGGAAGAGGGCAACGAACGCAACAAATAATTTTATTTTTTCTTCTTAAACTTGATTAAATTCTTCCGATATTCACATGCATTCGAGTAAGAAAGACAGTTTACGAAGCTTATTCTGTGTTTTCAGAGTTCGTCTTCAACACCTGCCACAAGTTTTGAAGCAAAATATTGATAGCTAGCCATACATATATAGTTAAGTGAGAAATATAATAAAAAAAAGAAGAGAAAGGGGGGGGGGGGGGGGTAGTAAGCATAAACATGCGAATAGTTTTGGCGTTCAAATTACTTCCAAGAGTCCTTTACTCAGCTCTTCTCTCTCTTTTTTTACTTCACAATCAACTTTTCGAGCGAAACAGAGTTGTGGTAAGAAGTTTTTGTACAAAAAAAGGCATCAAAAACATTTTGTTGTGAAAAAATAAATGAAAATGAAAGGAATGTGTATGTTCTAACCTGAAATCGTCCAAGTCTAGGAGATGCAATTTCTACAACAAATCCTGAATGTTGCTGTCCCATAGACAACAAGGATATTCTGAAGAAGTAAATGATGAAAGTTAGTTGAAAAAAAAAAGAATTTATAAGAAAGAACAATGAAAAGGAGATTTAAAACGAGGGACAGACGATGGGAGAGGAAAATAGCCTGAGGGCAGACAAGGAGATGTTGTATTGATCAAGCCCTCCCATTCCCTTCTCTCTCTCTTTCTCTCTTTGCCTCTCTCACACCCAGCTTCCCACAACGACGACAACGACGACGACGACGACAAGCATCAAGCAAGCAGGGCAAACCCCATGTTCACTCCTTCTCTCTATGGATACTATGACAGCTGTGAGGTTGAGAACATGTCTCTTTAGCTTATAAAGCTGGAGAATAGTAGGCCAGATGGCCAAAAGAGGTTGGAGCAAAGAGAAACAGAGTATATGAGATGAAAGCAGAAAACGAGAGTGCAGGGACAATCAAGACAATAAGCTGAAGACTCATCAAGGAAATTTGAATAATTGTCATTATAAGAGTTGAAATAATTTATTTCTTATCATCTACAATGAAAAATAAATAATTAAACCATATTATCACCATTTTTGGACATTTCAGAACTAGCAATTTCCAATAAGCTTCGTCGTTTACGTCCACAGCCACCACGTGTGCATCCACATCCACACCCGCCCCCCTATAATACAAAATAATGAATAATATAAGAGCTTATGAGCAGAAGCTTACATTAATACAAGCTTGAGTACAAACAGGTCGGCAACACTGACAACATGTAGTTTGCTGAACTGGAACTAAAACAGTGTTTGTGACACAAGCTTGACATCCAGGAGTTCCACAAGAGCATGGTGGAGGAGGGGAAGGGCAGCAAACCTTCAACACAATTATAATATTATAATACTTAAGTCAGTTAACCTGTCCACATTGACCATAATTTCCACAATTACACATTCCAGCACAACATCCGCCATCTCCTCCACATTGTCGTTTAGCTCGTACTACCAAGCCAACTTCAGAAGTTGGAAATAGCGAAGAATACGAAATATCAATAGAAACGATCAAAAACACAAAAATATATTTCATTTTGAGCGACAGCAAATCGTTTTTGAGTATTCCTTTTCATCATTTCTCGCTCATTAAATAGTCCTGTCTGTCCAACCTCCCGTTTCAAATATTTTCTGTCCGGAATGAAAGAAGAAAAAGCTGAGAAGTGTCTGACCGGATCAGTTTAATTGATTAAGCGATTGAGAATTCTGGATTTTTATTTTGTCTTTCTTTTTTCATCATCTTAAATCATCAAAATATGTTTGAAAACCTTTATTTGTACCTGTAATGATCATTGATTGATTATCGATTTATCGATTGGTTAAGTTATGAAAAGGAAATGGATTTACAATAATAAATTCTCTTCGAGACAAGTTTCCTCTTTCAAGTACAGATAAGGGCAGAAGCTTTGAGTGAGAAACCGACCAGAGTCGTCTTAAATTGAACTTCTGACGCAAAATATCCACATAATCCGGCTTGATCTGTAAAGGACATTTCAATAACTGCGCTGAAGCTGTGGAGGGACAGAACCTTGTGACAATGGCTGATATCCAAATCACGCAGCTTCTCACATTGAATAAGAATATAAACTATCTCATTGGGGATTCTACAACAGTAGCTGATATTCAAGGTTTTCAAATTCTTCAAATTTCCTGAAACTGCCTTGAGTTAAGAAGAGAGAGAGAGAGAAGACTAATTAACCTAATTGGTTTAGAGACGATAGCGTCAGTTGAGAGCATTTGGATATAGAGAGGTTTTCTATTTTTCTACAATTATTGAGTATATTTGATAAACAATCATCGTCTACGTCTGTCTCATTCATATGTAATTCTCTGAAACAGATGTATATCCTAGTATGGTCATATGCTTTACCTAAGATTATAAAGAAAAGCTATTGATTGATAATCCCTGATGTACGTAGCTTTAGATATATCTAGATACTCTAAGGAATCCCTCACTGAATCTAACTGTGACAGATTGTCCAGCAAATAGTTCAACGTCAACGATGTAATTTTCTTTTTTTCCAAAAAGTTCATTTCTTCCAATCTCATTAAAGCACCCGAAATTGACAACTTCTTGATAGAACTCGGTAAATGTTCCAAAATACTAGATGACAGTTCCAATTTGTATCCAAAATCTCCCTGGAAATAGAATATTCAGTACAAAATGACTTCTCGCTTCTCAACCAGCAGATGAAATTCCTGCATATTTTCCATTTTTCTCAAAAATATGCTTAAACTCCTCTCGATTATGGGTCGACAGTCCGATGAACTTGGTAGCTGACATGTTTCAATTGAAAATATCTTGAAGGATGTGTGATGAGCAGGGACAGAGAGAGAGACCGCCTACCTCTAAGGTCGACGGCAAGTGGATCATCTTCCCAATAGCTGTGAGTGTTACGATCATTCTATTTATATAGATTTTCCTAATTTTTGGGCAGTTAAGACAAATAGATTCGATAATATGACGTGTTAAGTGATAAGGACTCGTTGAAGGTACATCAATACTATAGTTCTTTATATCTGTGACGGCTGTCAGATGGAGTTCTTCTAGATTTCGTCCATACAACTCTTCAATGAAGCATTTGTAAAGTGCACATAAATGACTATTTATCTACCTATTATACTTGATACGGCTAGAGGATCTGATATACTTTTTTGAAAATCTGTTTCAAAATTCAAAATTCGTCGGCGAGCGAACGTTTTTGAAGCCAATCGCCGCCAAAGTTGACAAACATTCCGACACCTCATGAGATCATTTGCATTCAAATATCCGAACGTGTGAAGCAAAATGTCCTCCATTCCGTTCTGTAAAACAAAAAACTATTAAAATCGAAAGAAAATGCGCCAAATAAGGTTGTTGGAGAAGGTTGTTGTGGTGACGAAAAGCTCGGATTAAATTAGACATATGACGCGCACAATGGGCCATACGTTTATCTTCAGTTCATAGAGGTTATGATAGATTCAACTGGCTATGGAGAGAACGGCATGTATCAGAAAGAACAACATGTAAGTAAAAAAAATATTTTTTGTTTTTGAATGAGCAATTGGAAATCAAAAATATTTTCATCTGTTCATGGCTTTGTAATTAGCATATCAAGATGCTTCTTCTCCTCTTTTATGGCTTCAATTAAGCCTTAATGTGCTTCTTGAGTAATTCACTATTCGTTATGGAAATTATGGTTGTGTTTGGTAATTTTACCCGCAATAGAAGAGAAGCTGACACCAGGTGATTTTCTTTTTGGCAGACAAACACGTTCTGAGGGAGAGAGAGAGAGAGAAAAGAACAACAAAAAGAGGGAGAGAGATAGGGATAGAGAAGAGAGATATAAATGGGAAATGATGGAGGAAAGATAGAAATAGAGAGACAAATCAATAAGTAAACATGATAGAGAGAGAAAGAGAACGACTGAGAGGGAAAGTGAAATAAGAAGTATTAAGAAAACATTTCATATAAAAACTGTCGGAATATGAAAAATTATTCAAATGTTGTGAAAAAGCTGATGAACGATGTCGATTCGTCACACGCTCTTCCATTCAAACATTTTGTAATAATTGAAAGAAAATTAAACGTTTTGTCACATAATTAAAGGCAATTAACAGAAATGTGGAAAAGCAACCGCTCACTCGAATGACATTCTTTGAAAATAAATAAGAAATGCCGTGCGCTTTCACGTGAAGTGACGTGAAAACGTGGAAAATTAGTTTTCAATTGATTTGTTTGTGAAGAATATGATGAAAACTGAGTTTTGTGAAGAAAAAAAAACAAGAAGAATAATGAGGTGAAAATGTAAATTCTTTTTGGAAGTTTCTGATGGATTCTTATGCAGATTAAAGCTGTCAATAGGAGAGAAATGAAGCAACAACTGCCCTTAGGGCACTTTGATTTTCTATTGAAATGTAAGATTCTATAAGAAAAGAGAAAGACAGAGAGAGGAAGTAAGATAGAGAGAGAAAGAGAAAGTGAGAGAAGAGTAAGGCCTTACTTGTTGTGAAGTAATATTAAAGTTTAAATTATAAAGAGTGATATCTGAAGGGAAAAGTTCGAAGAAAACGTACAAAATGCTTTTTGACTGACTAACATCCGCCTTTGAATAATTCATGTGACTCTCGGCAGCTGGCAGCTTCTCTTTTTTTTTCTTTTCTGACTTCATGACGTCTGGCGGCGTCAAATCAATCTTTACATTTCTCTCTTCATCTGAACGTCTTCATTAGTTGGCGCGAGCTTCATCATTATCATCATCATATGTTTACAACGAGTGGAAGAATGCCTGAGGCGAGGTTGCATACAATACGTCAAGCTGTCTTATTGTATGTCTTCCTTTAAGCTTTTTATCGAACTTTCAACAGAATCAAGATGACGGAAGCTCAAATCAAACAGAAGATGAAACCTGTCTTTTCAATTTCGATGAGCATTGTCTCAATCAGAAGCTTGTAAGAGTGAGAAGATGTTTCACGAAGAAAAATAAAATAATTTTTTCATTAAAACCAAGACAAAAGGAATGGAAGTTCGCTGAAATCTATGTGGAGACACTAACGTCGTTTTCAAAAACCAGATTGAGCTAGTTGTCTTGCATAACTAACTTTATAAAAATCAATAAAGTTTATGAATAAAACACACATTTTTGTAATTCGTTTCATAGAAAAGTATTCTTAGCTTAAAAGAGATTAAGAGAATCACATAAAGAGAGAGAGAGGGAGGGAGAGAGAGAGAGAAAGTGAGAGGAAATGACTTTGAAGTATTGCAAAGAAAAGCCGAGAGGTCATGTTGTATGTGAGTGGAAATGATAAGCAAAACAATTGTTCACGAAAAGCATTCAACCAAGCCAAATATGTTAAAACCGGATTTTATTAGACTTTTATAAGATAATTTAGATCGACGAAGAAGCTTTAGTTAGAAGCTTCATTCCCTGACTTGTTAATTACTGGAGATCATGAGATATACACGTGAATGATATGTTTTCTTCAGAATTTGCTTTCCTCGATCCTTGTCTTCATATCGTCTCAAGGTTAAGCGGACTATTTAAGCCGGGATTTAAATCAATTTCTTCTATTTTCTCAATCGGAAATACGTTATTCTGCAATAATCCCCTATTTTAATAAAAATCTGTGAAAATGGAAAACCTTGGAATCATTACGAGGGAAAGTTTCATTGGCTGCAGCTGTGACAGAGACGGAATCCAAATTTTTCTGAAATAATATTCACTTTTCAATGATGAGAAAATGAAAAATGTCTACATTTCTTTTGTGGAAAGCTAGATCTGCTACGTCCGAAGTTGTTTTGTGATTCTGGAATATGCAAATTCGGATGGAGAACAAGGTGGAAAACGAACTTCTTCCGGCTGTTTCGTTAATTGTTTCGATGAATTTGTCATAGAAATATCTTGTTCAGCTACACAATGTTGTTGTTTCGAAGGTTTCTCCTTCACTTCATGTACTTTCCTGTGCGTGAACGTAGTTGCAGATTGTTGCCTCTTCGATGTTCTCAAATAATTTTAGAATATAAAAGGACAAAAAAAAATATTTTAATACTCTTCGCGCTTTTGTTGACGTCGTCGACGGCAACGTAGAATCCATAGAAGCAAAGACGATATGAACAAGATGATAATTGAAATAAGTATGAGAATTAATAACAGAATCTGTAATAGATGAAAGAGAATAAGAATGTAAGTTGAGAAACGAACCTCTTCGTCTGACGTCATGTCTCCCTTATACGACTGAGGAAATCTGAAAGTAAGGAAGTCATTTTGACAGAAAATGATCTCGAAATTACATAAAGGAACCATCTGTCGAGAAAGCTTCTCAACATCTGGGACTTTCAATCGATATTTGAAAATAAGAAAAAATATATTTTAAACGACATGAAGGGTTTTGTACTGTTTAACATGAAAGAAAATATTTACACAACGAGAATGAAATTAGCATAAAAGCTTTTTGATAAAAATGAATGTGCATTGATGGAATATGGAAGAAGAGAGAGAGAGTGAAAAGCTATGAAGATTAACAAGACGATTATCATTATAACCAAAATCTATTTTCCCATAAGGAATTAATTGAAAGCACGTTCTTCCACCCAAATATGGAATATGAAAAACTTTTTTTTCAGCCATCACCTAGCTTGTTGTTGAAGAGTTTAACGACCCTGAACGAATGAAGTTGCACTCAAACATTTCATCGACTCTACGTATAGTTAACAGGTTATATGTCAGAGTTTAAACAAATAAATACTTTGAAACTTATTTTAAAAAAGTTTTTTGGTTTTTCTTATTTGGGGGTTGTATGTGAGAGAGGGTGAGAGAGTGAAAGAGAAAGGGAGGAAAAGCCCGGAAGCTGTTTCCTGTCTTGCTCTCAGCAACAAATGACGAAAGCAGGCCAGATAAGGTAGTTGTGAAAATATATTTTCGAATAAAAATTCCAATTAAAAGCAGGGCAATCATTGTGTGTTTTTTCATGGAATAGAGAATGAACGTGGAAGGTAGTGATGAATAGAATGATGCAAAGAGCGCTGAGTGAAGTAGCAAAGAAATGGAATGAAGGAAAGAAGTGAGCAGAACTAGAACAGAATTCCATTTCAGGATAGAACAACTCAATGGCTGATAACAGAGAAAAGAAAGATATATCAGCATGATGTGCAACAACAGAATGTAGAAGATAGGGGAACGGAGGAAAGAATCTTGAAAAGGGAACATGCTGAAAAGAAAGTTTCAAAGAGAAAATAGTAAAGAAAGGAACTGTAAAAGAGGGATGAAAGAATGTTGGAAAATGAACATTAAAAGGAAAGTTGTGAGAAGAAGAAAATGGGGGGGGGGGATGAATGAAAAAGCAGATAAAGAGGATAAAAAAGAAAAAAGCAACCGTTGATCAGCCGGCTTCATATGAAAATGAAAAGCCCGTAAAAGTGCGCTGACGTAAGTCTTACGTATATATTCCACGTGAGAATAAAAAAAAGATTCTATGAAATTGAAATGTTTTTGATGAAGCTAATCGACGGCGATCGAAAACGATAAGAATGTATTCAAGACGAGAGAGGAGGGAAAATGGAATTGTTGTCCAAAAAAGGACATCACTCGAGAAACAGCCTTCATTCTATCGAAGGTAAAACTTTCATAAAAAAATAGAAATAGAAATGGCTGAAGCGTAATGAATTTCGCAGAGGTTCATTAGTTCGGCTTAAAACTATTCGTAACAAAATGGACAAAAAGAGGAAAAAGTCTCGTCTCTTAGCAACGGAGTGAAAAGCAAAAATTAGAGAAAAAATCTAAGAATAGATAAATGACTAATAGATTAAATTAATAAAATAATATGAACATAGGAGACTGAGAGAGAGAGAGAGAGGAAGCTCTTTCATCTTCCATTGTTATTTGAATATCTTGAGAAGCTTATAACCTTTGTCTGTCTCTCTTCTTGTTTATCATAGTTTGTCTAAATGTATCTTTGATCATCATATTCGTTTATCAGTTGTCTGACCGTCTGACTATAATTCATATGCTTTGACCTTCCCTCTCTTTCCTTCTTTCTCTCCCCCTCTCCCTCTCTCTCTCTCTATAAGCTCTCTATCACTTTTTATGCTTTTTACGGTCATTTTTCATGAGAGAACCTATTAATTTCCTTTGATATTATTCCATTTTTTTTGTGGATATAATTATGAAGTCAGAGATTGATTTGAAAATTTCATTTTCTCAATTGAAACACTTTTTTTGAAAATCATTAAATGACCTTGTTTTGTGGAAGAATAAAGAGATTGAATGTAGGTTTTTATGTAAATTAGTTTATTATTAACTATATGATAGATAGTTAATAAA